TCAATATTTCTCCTTTAAACTCAAGAAATTGTCTGTTTTCCAACAAAACTGATTGACTGTTTAGATTTGTCTATAACCTCCTAAATATTACAAACATCAATATTTACTCCCAAAAAGCTGGTGAGTTTCTTTTTATATACAGCTGTTTTTGTTTTGAAATTTGATTTCAATGTAACTCTTATGGGGAAAATGCGACCTTTGAGAGCGTCTCGTGCCCTTAAGGGTAAGAGTTTGTAAATTTTAAAACCTTTATGCGAAACTACGAATTGAGACGAATTATTTGACACCTCAAATGTTAAAATCGATCCAGAAATAACGGAGGAGTTTTGTTCACAAAAAATAGCCCTCACGTATTAATATTAAGAGATGTTGTAGTTTGCTTGTTTATGGATATATTTTGATCAAACTTGGCAAATTTATTTATTTTATACTAAGCTATTAATATTTTACAAAAAAAAAAAAAAATACACATTATTAGTTTCCTTGTTGCAGCAAACCTAGGTACTCATTAAACCTAATGTTGTTTAAAAAGGTTTAGTTGAAAATGAATTCAGACAAATGGAAATTTGCTTAGTCGGCAGGTTTGCTGTGGCGGGGGTATTTTAACAAAAAATTGGCTACAGTTGGTCCATATATATAGGACGTCTACTTCAGTATCTAATTGTCGTTTGATAGTAGTTTAGCGTTATGATAGTAGTTTGCATGCATATCCTTGTTTGTATTTTATGGTAGGATTTTTTGAGAAGATAGCAGGTTTACCTGAATGGGAAAGTGTCCAAACTGGCACAGGAAAACCAAAACTTTACAACTAAGGAAGATAAGAGTTTTCTACATGTCCAAAATGTAGAAAAGTCTCTCTTCCTTTGTTGAAAACGCTGTCAGTGACAGGGAAATATTCCTATGTTTTGTGTATATCAATAGTTGTAAAGTGATGTGTTTCCTGTGCCAGTTTGGACTCTTTTCCATTCAGGTAAACCTGCTATCTTCTCAAAAATCCTAAAAACCTAGGCCCTTGTGCTATATGCTACACCCTTGACCTTGTATTTTATGGTATATTATTGTTGTCATTAAAATCAGCAAAAATTATCGTGACTGTGACTGAGTTAAGTCTAATAGTGATTCTCAGATTTACAATTTGACGACCTTGATTTGGGGTTTAGATGAATAAAGCTCCTTATACTCATTGGCGATAAACGTGTAAAAGGTTGAGTTAAGTAGCTTTGTTTCACTTAATGGAGGTCCATACTATATTTTATCGGCGAAAGCTATTATTAACAGCAGCTTTTTTATTTTGAGAGTAAAAGCATAGGAAGCTTAGGAACACTTTATAGAAGGAATCGGTACACCAATAACTTCCCCAATTAAAGAATTACGTACACCCTTAAAAGCACACAGCACTGTTAGTTTGATATTTCCCTGAGGAATGGTGGGGCTTCTTTTAATTGCTTAGTAGAACAGGAAGCTGATTTTAAAATTCCTTTTACTTTTTGTTTAGACACTAAAATGTAAATTTAATCAAACCATGTGTCACTTCCAACTCAGTATAATTCATAATGTTACTCCAGGGCCTTCATAAACACCGTGTGAGCTTGCTTGTTGATTTTCAAAGTTTTATTTTTTTAGGGTTCCGGACAACGCAACGTCTTGATCTTTGATTTGGGTGGTGGAACCTTCGATGTCTCCATCTTAACTATAGAAGATGGTATCTTTGAAGTGAAGTCACACCTGGAGACACCCACTTGGGGGGTGAGGACTTTGACAACCGAATGGTCAACCACTTTGTACAAGAGTTCAAGAGGAAGTACAAGAAGGACCTTACACAAAACAAGAGAGCTCTACGAAGGTTGAGAACAGTATGTGAGAGAGCGAAGCGAACCCTCTCTTCCTCAACTCAGGCCAGCATCGAAATTGACTCACTTTATGAGGGAATTGACTTTTACACTTCCATCACCCGAGCCCGTTTTGAAGAGTTGAACGCTGATCTTTTCCGAAGCACAATGGAACCCGTCGAAAAGTCTCTAAGGGATGCCAAGATGGACAAGGCCCAGATCCATGACATTGTTCTGGTCGGTGGTTCCACTAGGATCCCTAAGGTCCAGAAACTCCTGCAGGACTTCTTCAACAGAAATGAGCTGAACAAATCCATCAACCCTGATGAGGCTGTGGAATACGGAGCTGCTGTCCAAGCCGCTATCTTGAGTTGCACGGAGTCAAGTCTGAGGAAGTACAAGACCTGTTTCTGCTAGACGTCACTCCTCTCTGACTTGGTATTGAGACAGCTGGAGTTGTCATGACTGTTCTTATCAAGAGGAATACCACCATTCCTACAAAGCAGACCCAGACCTTCACCACTTGCTCAGACAACCAACCTGGTGTCTTGATCCAGGTGTACGAAGGTGAGCATGCCATGACAAAAGATAACAACCTCTTGGGGAAATTCGAACTGAGTGGAATTCCACCTGCACCAAGAGGTGTGCCTCAGATCAATGTCACCTTTTACATTGATGCCAACTTTGACATTGATGCCAACGGTATCTTGAACGTCACAGCTGTGGAGAAATCTATCGGCAAGGAGAACAAAATTACTATCACCAACGACAAGGGACGTCTCAGCAAGGAGGAGATTGAGAGGATGGTGAACGATGCTGAGAAGTACAAAGCAGAGGATGAGAAGCAGAAGTCTGTGATTGCTGCAAAGAACGCTCTTGAATCCCACTGCTTCAACATGAAGAGCACCATGGAAGATGAGAAACTTAAGGTAATTGTTGATATTAATTGTGTACATAACATTGTTTACAGGTTGGACAGTTTTTGTGTTTTTTTACAATCTTTTATCACAATCACAGAAGGTTTTGAAACAAGCTGGTTCTTTTACACAATTTTTATATTTATCTTAATGATGTAGCAAGGTTAAACATGATGAAAACCATGGTTTTTTTGTTTTTTAAGATGTGAAACAATTTATCATCATTTCAAGTACGGTACATGCCTGTATGAATGGTTTTCACTAATTACTCTTATAGTCCTACAAAATAGAAGTTTTCTCTTTTCAAAAGGAACAGCAGCAAAGTACATCAGAACTTTTCTGAATTAAAATCATCCGGTGGATCACTAATAAATACGAGATCACCTCAAAGAGAACAAATGAATAAATGTAACCAAAATAATTAAGTTCCTTGTGGTATGTGGTAGTACATTGTACTCTAGCTGCACAGAGAAGTTAAATCAATCAATCAATCAATCAATCAATTATTGAGATGGGTCGCCACCTAGGTGCGTATTTTAACCCAAATATGAGTGAAGGATGAGTGTAGAATGGTGTGTGATGACCTGTGTAGCTTTGTTACTGACTAAACAGAGGATACAAGCTTATGGGACAACAGTGCGCTTTTAGCTCTGGGATGTTGGTGTGGAAATGTACTTGTGCCAAGCAAGGACTTGTTAACCGTGTGACTAGACGGTACTTGTGCCGTCTAGCAGCGACTGTTGCTAGAAACCACTTAAGTGTACTATTGCGCGTATCATCTGTTTCTTGATTCTCGGTGCTAGCTGCTAATTTAATATGCTAATTGTGTTTGAATCAATCATAGTGATGTATTGTTAGGTGGGTAATGAGTCATCTACTTAGTGCCACAGTCATGTAAGAATCCAATCATCCAGATTGTTGATTATCTGGATAGAGTATAATCACATTTGGGTGGTTGGATTTCTACTTTATGTGCCATTAACTTAAATGAATCGTTGAATAATAATTCATACCAAAAACTCTTTACGATCAACTGATTAAAAGTAATTTATTTAATGGTCTGAATTTTAAAATTCTTGTGTTCACAGGATAAGATCACAGAGGCTGACAAGACCACCATCCTGGACAAGTGCAACGAACTGGCTGGACGCCAACCAGCTGGCTGAGAAGGAAGAGTATGAGCACAAGGCCCAACCATCATGGAAGTCGATTAAAGTGCATTTACCTAACGCAATTCCACAAATGGAACTTTATCCTGCTGTAAAATTTGTTATGTTCCTGAATCAAGTATTTTCACCATATCTTTGCTTTAAGTACGTATTATTGCATTTCAAAACCGGAATAAATGTGTTAGGGCATGCAACTTTTACTAGAATTGTCATCATTTTTTTTATTGTTGGTATTAAAGTTTCATTTTTTGAAACACCATAGTTTTTGTAATTGTTTTTAATTCCTCAGATTAACTTTGTGTGCCTTGTAAAATGTGGTCCATTTTAAGTTGTCATTTAAAACCCGGATGCAGGGATTGAGATTCTCAAGGGTCTGGCAATAAAGTGATGTCTTTCTGAGTATCTTGCTTTTAAATATCAGGGGACCGCTCGTGGGGTTTAATTTGTTCGAGGTTAAATAAAAATAAACATGCCTACATTATGTGCAATTTCCATGAAATTATGTAATACAGTCGTATGTAATGAAACAATGAAATGAATGCATTTTACAAATTTGATCAAAATATTATGTTCACAAACAAGCAAACTACAACAGTTTACTTATTCTCCATAAGAATAAAACATGGGAATTTTAAATTTACAGTTTTTAGGAATTTTCTAATAATAAGGTTTTGGGTTTTAGTTATGTATTAAGAGGTTATATAAAATAGATTTAACATATTTACACATTTAAGACTAAAAACTAGATAATAATTTATAAATAAAAATACTTTTTAAAAATGCCACGTTTTTAAACGCACTAAAAAGTATAAAATAATTTGTACAATTTTGAGAGAATAAATACTTGTAAGATTTTTAACGAAAAACATGGGGCGCATGCAATAGATCATAATAGTTCAATAGGTGAAGTTAATTGTAAATCAGCATGCGACCTATGTTTTTCGTTTTAAATCTTACAAGTATTTATTCTCTCAAAATTGTATAAATTATTTTATACTTTTTAGTGCGTTTAAAAAAAAACGTGGCATTTTTAAAAAGTATTTTTATTTATAAATAATTATTTAATTTTAGTCGGCTACTGAGTCTTATGTCCGAAGAAGGTAGATGAGGTTCTTCTAAACCCAAACAAATTGCATCGAAATTTATAGAATAGAGCTTGTTAATAGTTACTTTCAATCTGAAACACTTAAAACATCAGCTTGAACAACATCTTGAACGATTTCTATAGAGAAAATTTGTAAAAAACACTTTTCCCTGGACATCCATTTTGACAGAATTAATGTTATTAATTAATTGTTCAAAAATAATGATTTAACACTACAACCTTGCTGCTATTCATGCCAAAAAAAGATTGTGGCTCCATGTGAGAAACTTTGGCTCAAACTATGTTTGTTAATTATTTGTTAAGTAAAATATTACTATATATTTTTGTTAAGTAACTTTTCAACTTATCCGAGCAAAAAATATTAAATATAGTTTATGGTGGTTTGCAATGCAATATAATGAAACATAATTTTACCTACGACCCGTTTTTTAAAGTAGCCATTTCAGTCCAGTTCTTAGAATTGAAAAGTTTCACTTTACAGCTGTTTACCTTCATATCAGCATAGTTTTTCTCATATCCACACAGGTAACGGACCAATGAGGCTCAAGTATTGAGAGAAAAGAATTAAAATTGTAATGCTTCGGTCAACTAATCAGCTGATCAGTTGACCAATTTAATTGTTGATCCGACTTGTTCATGTTGATACTCGTGTATTCTTAATTAAGTTGGTGGAAGTCCAAAAATAAATGAAATATTTGCCGAATTGTACCTGATACAATATTATTTATGGTAAGAATGCTGCTAGCAATGTAATATTTAACGAAGTTTAACAAACACGTAATTTCGTTGCACCACTTTCAGTGGCAATGACAATACACGAAAACATAATCTCTCTAAAAAGTTATCAGTAGTGATTGTTAGTAATTAAATCCAGATTGATAGTAATTAAAAAACGGTCGTAGGTAAAGTAGTGTACGCAACTCGCGTTAATAGTCTTTACGACACTCGTAAAAGGTTTTAAGGCACTCGCCAAGGCTCGTGCCTTAAATTTTCTACTCGTGTCGTAAAGACTCTCTTAACGCAATCGTTGCGTAAACTACTATTACATCATACTGTCCGGAAAACAAAGACAACCGTTTCTAGTTCTGTATATCAGCCACAAAATCATCGTTTTTGGGTAACTTCAAATAGGGAACAGAAACAAACAATGGTAAAATGTTGGTTCGCTAACCTCAAAATTTGTTTAAGGCACATTTAAATGTTGTGAAAACGCTGCTAACCACACAATATTTGAAGTTGTGTTTGTAAACAACAGAAATTTAAACATTGATAAAAACGTATAACCTCGAATTATGTGGTATAATTTTGTAACGATTAGAAATTTATTTCCACAGTATGATGAAAATAGTTGTTCATCACACGGAGCGAAAGTGTATTTTTGGTACTTAACCGTATTTCTAAGCTTAGCGTACCAAAAAGAGCCACTTTCGCTCCTAGTGATGAAAACTACTAATAGTGTTCTTTAATAACTTGCATACAAATGTGGGGATAGTTTTACCGCTCTTATTATGCCAGATTTACTGTGTTATAGATAATATTTAAGTAAAGTATAACTCAGAATTTGTATACACTCCCCCCACCCAAGGTGCAGACTATTCCATCTCTCTGATTAGATTCTCACTAAAGTATTATCTAAAACATGTCAAGATTGAGGGAAGTAGTTATTACTGTAGGTGTCCAAAAACACCATTCGTTCAAATTTCTATTTATGTATATATAGAGTTATATATTTATCCATGAACGCGATAACCCAAGTAATTTTTGTCCGATTTTGATGAAATTTGGTCTAAAGGTATAAGGCGGGATAAACTTAAATGAGTTCGCAAACCAGCATGATCGGACCATGGGAATGGGGTTTTACGGGGCAAAAATTTGTTTTTCTCATTTTTGAACCTTAAAACACTAAATGATCCAATTTCTATTTAGACTTTTTTAAGCTTAAAAAAACATATATTTTAGTACATCAAAGTGTTTTTGTACGATTATTGGTAATGGAGAAAATTAAAAAGATTGTAAATTTAAAATTCCCATGTTATTCTTTTGGAGAATATTGTAAAATGTTGTAGTTAGCTGGTTTATGAATATATTTTGATCAAACTTGGCAAATTTATTGATTTTTGTAATATTTTACTAAGAATTAAGTGAATGCACTGTTTTATGTCATAACTCAAACTCAACTAACTTTATTTACCTTTTTACAAACATAGAATAACAAATAAACATATGATCTATCTATATATTAATAGGCAAGCATGTTTCTTTAAAACCTTTTTTCTCAGCTCGTGTGCATCGCAGGAAAAATCTATGCATACTGTTGGAAAGATATTTACCTGTAGATGAGCAGAATCCCTTTATAAATTAAAATAGGCTCAAAAATAAGCACAAAAAATGAATTTAAATTTTGAAAAAATTAACATGGATCAAATGGGTTGCCATGCTGGTTACGAAATAACAACGAAATATAAACAGAAAATCAAAACAAATGGAAGAAACTCCAATCATATGTTTTATTCACAGTGTGGGATGAAAATAAAGAAGACTGTACATTAAATATTTTTGGTCGAGTTTCGACCACTGGACGACCTCTAGTAATAATTAATAGAAATTAACAGGTGTTATGAAATAAACTGTTCTCACAACATCCTCCCTTTTAAGTTTGAAAGTTCTTCAACCAGCTTGGTTTTTGTATATTTCTCTTTGGACGGTTGTATGGTTCTGTTTGATGTGTATTTGCTGACAAATTTTGTTCACTGTTTTCCTCTCTTAAATAAGGGGCAAGTTTGAGGTGGAATCGATTTCTTCTCACATTCCTCTTATCAGTTTCAACAATATATGAACGAGGGCTGTCCAGGATTTTCACAATTTTGCCATGTCTTCTAAGGTCCACAATCCAAACTGGGTCTCCTATATGAAGAGGATTGAGAGTTTGCACTTTGTGCCTTCTATCATAGTTGTGTTTGTACTTCTCACGATATGTTTCTTCTCTCCCTTTAAGATCCTTTAGATCTGGTTTTCCACAAAGCAAATGTCCTGTCTGAGGCAATGTGCTCCGTAATCGCTCTGCTCTGTTCATAAGAAGCTGAGAGGGACTGAACCCATTCCAGAGGGGTGTCGTTCGATAGGCTAGAAGCGCTAAATAAGGGTCTTCCACATTTTTCTTTAGAATCATTTTGGCGATTTTCACTGCCGCTTGGGAAAATTTTGGGCTACTTGTTACATGCTTGAAGCCATAAACTTTGGAAAATGTCTTGAAATCTGAATGTTCAAGGACTTGAAATTGAGACCCACAGTCAGACCTAATTTCTTCTGGAATGCCATGTCGACAGAAAAAGGCTTTGCATCTCATTATTACTTCTCGTGATGTTAATGACTCTAATTCAGCTATCTCAAAATATCTGGAGTAATAATCTGTCACAGTCAAAAACCAAACGCCTTCAAGTTTGAACAAATCCATCGCAAGTGTTTTCCATGGCCTGTCAGGGAATTGTGTGGGAAGCAATGGTTCATGACTGTTCCTTGAATGTTTAATACAAGTAGGGCATGATTTCACCATACATTCAATGGCTGAAGAAATTCCTGGCCACCAGACTGACTCTTTTGCACGTAAACGACACTTGGTGATTCCAAAATGACCTTCATGTACTCTTTGAAGTGCCCAAGACTGCAGAGCTGGCTGAATTACAAGTCTTGAACCTCGTAGTATCATCTCATTATCCACACTTAGCTCATCCTTAACTGAATTATACGGTTTTAGGTCATCTCGTAATGATGTCTTAGAAGGCCAACCTTGGATGATTATTTTTTTCAGTTCACGTAAAGTCGGATCTTTATTTTGTTCCTCCAATACTTTAGCAACTATGCAGTCGTTTATATCGATGGACGACAAAACCATTTGAACAAACGCTTGAGTTTCTTCTTCTAACTCACGGTCATCAGTACCTGAAAATGGGAGAGGTGCTCTTGAAAGAGCATCAGGAACTAGAAGCTGCTTTCCAGGAATATAAGTAATTGAAAAATCATATCTCATGAGACGCAATCGAATTCTTTGAATTCTTGGAGACAATTCATCAAGATGTTTGGATTTCAAAATTTGAAGTAGTGCTTTGTGATCTGTTTGTATTGTTATTCTCTTGCCAATAATAAATTCTTGAAACTTTTCACATGCCCAAGCAACAGCTGTAGCCTCCCTCTCGATGTTTGCATAGTTTTTTTTCAGAAGGAAGAAGGCTTCGGGATGCAAATGATACTGGTCGTATAGAACCATCATCTTGAACTTGAGAAAGAGTTGATCCTAGTCCTTGAAGCGAGGCATCACAGGAGATAATTGTTTCCCCGATTTACGTCGTAAATGGCTAGGCAAGGAGAGTTAGTCAAAATGAGTTTTATTTCATCAAATGCCTTCGCCTGCTCTGGACCCCATATCCATGGAACGTTAGCTTGAAGTAGTGAATTCATTGGGGCCAAAATCTTAGCTTTGACAGGAATAAACTTACCAAGAAAGTTTACCATCCCATTGAACCTTTGAAGTTCTTTTACGTTTTTTGGGCAGTCCATTTTGAGAATGGCGGAAACCTTTTCCTTATCAACAGAAATTCCATCGGATGAGAGGAAATGCCCGAGGAATTTAATACTTGACTTCCCAAACTCAGTTTTGTCTTTGTTAAGTGTCATTCCTACATTTTTAAGCTTTTCAAGTACTTGCCGAACAACTGTATCATGTTCTTCTTTCGTTTTGCCCCAAATCAGAATATCGTCCATATGGACTGCGACATTTGACTGGTTGTCTAAGATTTTGTTCATGCATTTCTGAAAATGTTCAGGTGCTGATGTGATTCCAAATGGAAGTTTGAGAAATTTAAAACGTCCAAAAGGGGTAAGGAAAGTAGTTAGATCCTGGGAATTTACATTTAAGGGGACTTGCCAAAAACCACTGTTTGCATCAAGTTTTGAAAACCATTTTGCTCCTGAGATTGAGCTGAGAGACGTTTCAATTTTGGGAATCGGATGATAAGACCGCTGGATGGATTCATTCAACTTTGTTAAGTCAACACATATGCGGACATCTCCATTAGATTTAGGCACTACTACCATTGCTGAGCACCATTCAGTAGCATGCTCAACTGGTGTGATTACATTATTTTGTACCATACTTTCTAGTTCTTTTTTCACTTGACACATTAGGGGTAAAGGTACTGTCCTAGGAGTGGTTATTGCGTATGGCTTTGCGCCATCCTTAAGTGCTATTGTGTAGGGATCAGGAATGACGCCCAGACCACTAAACATTTCATGGTATTCGGTAAAAAAGTCACTGTCTACCTCTGCAACTGAATTAACAAACGTTAAAATCTTCAAGTCCTGTATTGCTGGACGACCAAGCAAGGGTGTTATGAGTCCCTTCACTACGTATACCATGTGATTTATTTTAACATCTCTGTATTGGATATTAGCTCTAACACAACCTACAGTTTCTAATTTTGTTCTACCAGCCCCAAACAACTCAACTAGAGTCGGCTGGATCCTACTTGGATCAACTATGCCAGGGGGAATTACTGTTACATCTGCCCCTGAATCAATTTTAAATGTTTGTGGTTTTCCCTCAAATACTAATTCTAGTTTCCAGGGCTTACATTTTGACCCATCCCCAAGTGAACCTATGAATACTTTATTATTTGAAGGTCCAAGTTCACTTACTTCATTTTCGTCAGTTACTTCCTGTGCTTCTTTAGATCTGCAGACCTTCGAAAAGTGACCAATCTTTTTGCATATAAGTTACATGTTGCGCTTTTTGCTGGACACGTGCTTCTTGGATGGGACGGTTTATAACCACACCAGATACATTGCGCTGGGTATTCTTGTTTCTTTTGACGAAACCTATAACCTTGATTTTGGTTTGAACTCGATGACGTAGTTGCTTCAATTTGAACTCTTTTCTCATCACATAAATCTGCCTTCTCTTTCTTTACGTTATCTGCATGTCTTATTACTGTAATGGCCTTGTCTAAATTCATCTCGGGATCTAGCAACAAGCGATCACTAAGTTTCTCATCATTTAAACCCAGTATTAGTACCATCAACTCTATTTCATCATTAAGTGAACCCCAGTCATAGGTTCTAGCCAAGGAATGGAGACTAACTATAAACTCTTCAACTGTTTCATTAATTTTTTTTGTCTCTTCAAAAACTTTGCTCTTTCAAAAATTAAGTTCCTCCGTGGAATAAAATGTTTGTCAAATAAATCTAAGACTCCTTCAAATGTTAGCGTTGATTCGGTTGCTAAATTAAAAGATGCAAAAATCTCATCAGCTTTCTCACCTAATGTGTATACAGACTGTCCCAAAAGTCCCGGACCGGTTTAATATTTTCTAAACGACAACAGATAAATCAATAAGATTTGGTACATCAACACCACACCTAAAAATCTACTTTTTTATGGAAATATAAATTTTCTGTCACATCAGGGGGACGTCCCGCAAGGAGTCAGAAGGAAATCTTAAACAGAAGCATAGGTTGACATGTACATCAAATTAAAGGTCTTTACTAGCAGAATATAATGCTGAAAATTTGAACTCAAACGGACAACCAAGTCAAGAATGACAGTGGTTCAAAGATTCATTTAATTTGCATTTGGGGGCACAGCCCTAGGAATCGGAAAAAAATTTTTAACGTAAGCATAGGTCGATATGCACATCAAATTAAAGGTCTTCACTAGTAGATTACAATGCCGTAAATTCAAGCTCAAAAGAACGGCTGATTAAAAAATGGCAGTAGTTCAAAGATTCAAAATGGCAGGTTCAAGAAATCTTTGAACGGCAGCCATTTTATAACGGGTGATCCTTTCGAGGCGCGGTTTCCGGCATTGAACTCTGCTAGCTAAGCTCTTTAAACTGATGTGCATATTGACCTATGCTCCTATTTAAGATTTCCTTCTGACTCCTCGTGGGACGTCCCCATGATATGACAGAAAATTAATAGTTCCTTAAAAAAGTAGATTTTTAAGTGTGGTGTTGATGTGCAAAATCTTATTGATTTATCTGTTGTCGTTTAGAAAATATTAAACCGGTCCGGGACTTTTGGGACAGTCTGTATAAGAGTGTTGATTTGTTTGTTCTCAGACTCTTCAGATAGCCCAGATGCTGACCGATATCTTTGAAATCGTGTTTTCCATCTTGGCCAATCTGCTGGTACAAAGGAGAAACTAGCTGGAGGTTGAATAACTGAATGAGTGTTAGATACAATGATTGACTTCATAGTTGAATTGTTGTATTCATTTTCTCTGCTTCTTTCATTTTGTTCTTGTTCATTTTCATTATCTTCATAGTCAGATTGTTTCCTTCTTGGATTTCTCTTCTGAGGCATAGCTCTAAACCGCTGCCACCATGTACTATTTTACTAAGAATTAAGTGAATGCACTGTTTTATGTAATAACTCAAACTCAACTAACTTTATTTACCTTTTTACAAACATAGAATAACAAATAAACATATGATAATAATTAATAGAAATTAACAGGTGTTATGAAATAAACTGTTCTCACAACAATTTTATACTAAGCTATTAATATTTTACTAAAAACCACACTTATTAGTTTCCTTGCAGCAGCAAACCTAGGTACTCGTTAAATCAAATGTTATTTTAATTTAATTGAAAATCAATTCAGACAAATGAAAATTCGCTTAGTCGACAGGTTAGCTGCAGCGAGGGTATTTTATTTAAAGTAAATTAATTAATCTATGTTTATATTGTTAATGTAGTTAGCATAACCTAACAATATCCTGGGCTGGGCATAAAATATGAGCCATGTGTTGAGTGAAAGTAGTTTGAAATTGTCTATTATTTAATTTTAAATTTAATCGAGTTATGAAATTCCTTTGTGGAGGATTCCTCACTTTTTGTACCTGCCTGTGTTGAAACCTCCTATATGATTGGGACGAAAAAAACCTTTCTCTAATTTTTGTTTATTTGTACATGTCATGTATTGTTATATCTGCAATTAAATAACTTATGGCAGATTGCCTATGCTATGATGAATACCAGTTACCAAAAATAACAAAACAATACTAAAAAAAGTTTCTATAGTATCTTTTATGTAACACTACACTAGTTATCAATATAATCTATACAGGGTGGTCGCGAATAAGCGTTAAACTTTTTATTGGGTATAATAGGAGCATAAATGGAACTCGTAAACGTGGTTTAAAAAAATATATCTCATACACAACCCCAGAGATGACATGTTTTAAATTTTTTGAAAAAAATTGACATAAATGCAAAAATGTTACATTTTTCGGGTTAGTTTAAAACTTTCAGCAACAATTAACTGTACCATCGCGTTCTCCACAAAATTTTGAATAAAAATACATGTATTTCAACTTGCCAAAATCTGCATAGCTACTTATTAAATTGAATAGAAATAAAAATTTGTGTTTTTCAAAAATTTAAAAAAAAAATACGTAAACATAAAACTTTTTTCAAAAAAGGTTTTAACGAGCAGCAAACACTTTTAAAAACTGCTCCATGATCTAAGCTTTCAAACAATACCATAAAACGTAGTATTTGATCCCGATAAATGTCCGCTATTCAAGTTTGAATGGCGTAAAACACAGGTTACCCAAAACATTTTTACTACTGTCGCGTTGTAATAATGTTTTTTAGATTAATTAAAATAGCACCATTTAAACGGATTTATTGAAATCAATTTTTGGCAATCTTGAATTAACTCAGCTATAAGGCTAATCTTATACCAATTCAAGTAAGATATGTACCTATGATATGAAATTAAAAATTAATAATAATTCATTTCGTAGTAGAGAAATTAGTTTTATTATTTACAGTACAGCCATGATATGAAACAAAAAAAAGACTTAGTCGTTTTCTCTTATTTACACTACTGCATACTTCACTAAAACGACAAGGCTGTGCCCCACAACCTAAAAAAAACACGATACAGATATTTGATAAACTTCAACTTAATAAATAAAAGTAGCCTTAAAATATGTTAAAATGAAAATATTACAGTAGTTGGGGATTAAATTGAACACATGAGACAAATAATTTAGTTTCAGGTAATACAAATGTTCAACATTTTGGATAGATTGTACAGACATTTCATCAAATTTTAATAAAAACACAGTTAGCCCTAAAATATGGTAAAATTAAAAGATTAAATAATGGATTAAAATAAACAAAAAGAGAATAGCTTCACTTCAACTTCCCTACTTGGATCGGACGAGGAGGCACTGTTTCTTGGCCTGCCAGATCTCCGGATCT